TGCTGAAAGCCTCTTCCTTGTTGGTAAACCCTGTCTGCAAGTTGCTTCTTAAAAATACATTAGGGAAGAGAGTTGCTGTGGCCAGCAGTTAACCTTGGTCTCGCGTGTGAGTTGGTGCAGGACAGGAGCCTGAAGGAGTCACAGTCTCTCCGCGGTCTCTCCCAGTGTCTCCAGTCACTCCGCCGTCTTCAGCGATGAGTTTTCTCTGGCGGTTTGGGCTAACTAGCACAGGGTAGCCCGAAAGCGAACATCATCAGGCCAAGGCACCTGTAGAGACTGGCCATGCTATGATCCGTTCTTATTTTCCTTGCATCTGGCTTTTTTCACTTTGCTCAAGGTCTCTGCTAGGTAGATTTATGATTCAGCTCTTTTGGATTCTGTCGGATTCTGTGGACGTCATTTTGTTGCCGAGTACATTGCAGTACATATATTTTTTTTATGGTCCTACCTTATTTATTTATGTCTGCCCTGGATAAATGGGAAAGCCGCCAAGCAAATGCTTCCTTGTTTTCCTCGGTGGGCTCTCTGTCAGGGTTTTAAGCCCAGTATCTGAATGTTTTATTTTCACAGGTTTTCTCAGTGCAGTTTAAAGGTCTGCGTCCCCGTTTCGGCACGCCTAGAGTTACCCTGGGTTAACCCGATTTCATCGTGTCAGGTAGTATTTTCCCTGGTGATAAACGCGGCAATGAAAAGCAGAAGCAATCAAAGGGCCTCTCTTTGGTTGGCATTTTAAGTGCAGGAAGGAAAGGGACTGAGCGCTGATGTATCGCAGCCTTTAGTTGATAACTCCCTGAGGTGTAACAGTAATGATGACACTATCTTACACTTAGATGGTAGTCCTCATCTTGGAAGATCCCAAAGCTCGTCGCAAAGTCTTTCTGCACTTCACCTCTTTCTGCAACAGAGGCTGTGTTGGCGGGAGAGAAGCATGGTGCGGCGTTTCCACCGCTTGGGAATTCGGTATTGGGAACGGCACGGTCAGGCTGTGTCGTCACAGCGTGCCACGAGGTCAGTCGCTGGGGGCAGGCTTGGGAGCGAGTTCCCTCACTGAACCACGCGGACGACTCCTGCCGGTGCCGTGGGCTTTCCCGGGGGGGCTTCTGTGGAGGTGTTGAGCAGGCAGAGCCCTGTTGTAGTTCAGAAAGAGGCGAGATGAGAGCTCTGGGTAGTACCGCTGCAGGCGGTTACGTACTAGGGAGCGTTTGTTGCATACGCTGAAGCCTTGTAGCCCTCTCTTCAGGGCACACCAAACTATAAAACGCACGGAGTAAGGAACTGGCGTCTGCATTCAGAGCATTGCAATAAATACCAGGTGGAGACCACAGTGCCCTTTCACTGGCTGCTTCGTTTCTGTCTTCTCTGCCTCCCCTTGCTGTTGTGTGTTTTGGCGAGCTGGCTCAAGCCACCTCACTGTCCCTTTATTTCTTGCTCCAGTTATTTTACTAGCTGATCTACATACAGCTTTACAATATCCAGAGTTTTATAAAAAGTGTCATAATCAGCTCCAGTGTGGGAGGCATCCAGGAAAGAAACACGCTACGCTTGCTTTATCGCTGCTTTGAGTGGAGGCACCCACCTCACATGGAGGACTGGCTCATTTCTGTTGTACGTCCTCCCTGGCAGTGCTGAGGGAGATACAGCCTATGAGGTTTTATTCCTATAGGAGAGGACTCAAAGATGGAAGTGACGTGAAGAACGAAAGCAAGAAGAGCAGAGGAGGTTGTGCTTTTGCTCACTTGTGGGTTTCCGTTTTCTGCTCCCCCCTTGCCAGGAGCACACAGATGCCACGAGGGGTTATGTGAGCTTCCTTTTTACCTCTTCTCAGTTCAGTCCTAAACTGCTGCACCCACAGGTTTTGCTTTCTTCGCTGTGGCCCTCAGGGCTTGCTGCGTTGCTGGTGGAGTTCCCTGTCCGTCTGTCCTTGGATAGGATTCGGGGCTGCCGGGTAGCATCATGGGTATAATTCCTCCCCGCCCCAGCACCCTGCCCTCGGCACAGTTCTGTCACGTGCAGGTCTCCCTGAGTTCATGTTCATTACTGAAACTCAGTCCGTCCTTTCCTGTATCAGCCATGTCTCTGTTCTCGTGTCTCAGACATGACTACCGCAATCCAGCTTCCAGGATGTGCACTCCATCTGTTTGCTACCTTCCCCCTCCACACACTCTTTTCTTCCCTTTTTATTAACCCCTGGGACAATTAAGAACAATGGCCTGTTAAGAGTTTCTTTTCCAGCAGCATCAAGATGGTATTTTAAATGGGAGTTGATGTTGGTTGTTTTCCTCTCCTTTTTTTCCTCTGTTACGCAAGGTTAGCTTGGTGCCAGGAGCAAACTCTTTGATCTGAGCGCAGGTAACAAAAATCAGGGTATTTTGTCAGTAGATGCTGGCCTTTGACAAAAAGCTATTCCTTGTAGGACACCAAAAAGCAAAAGGACAGCCAAGGTTGTTGCTGTGTGCAACGCAGGGACAATGTGTGAATTGGATCAATTTACATCTGTTGTCTTAAGGGACCCTAGCCCGTTTCCTGCTAATTTTCCTTTTAGAATAAGTTTCTCAGTATTTCTGTGTTTATCTGTAATAGAGCTCAGTAAAACCAAGGACAAACCCTTTGTCCTCCCCTTCACAGCCTCTGTGCCTCTCCACCGCAAGTTTCCTGTACGTCCTTGAAGGCTTTTGTGTGTGTGACAGCTACTCGCTGTAACGTCTGAGCACCTCCAGTGCAAAGCCAGCCGTGACAGTCCAGCTGGGGATATTTCCACCGCTCCCTTTGGGCTTTTGGATCTTCCCCTTGCTGCTCAAGTCGTCGAGGAGAGATTAGTGATTTTGTTTGTTTGGGACAGAACACAAAAAAGGACCCAAATTTTCAGAAAACATTAGCATCTCTGACTCGATTGCTTTTCGGACTTTATGGACATGAGTGTTTTATTAAGGAGCTGTGCGACTAAGAGATCTTGGTTTTTGTAGAGAGAGAAAGTTAGTCAGAGGGCTACCATATTTTGTCCAAGGTGAGTGGCAGATGCTGGAAGAGAACGTGTTCCTTATTCAGGGGGCCATGCTACCGTAGGTTAGTACTTTTTTAACCCTTTGCGGAAGAAGGCAGAGCTCTATTTGTGGTGTGACCTCCAGTTGTTTTTGCCACGCAGGCTTCATTTCATGGTTTTCCACACTGAGGAGTTCCACGACGTGCTGAGGATATGGGACGGCCCAGTGGAGAACGGGATCCTTTTAAAGGAGATAAGTGGGTCTGGCTTACCCGGTGATGTCCACAGTACTTTCAATTCTGTCATCCTTCAGTTCAACACTGATTTCTTCACAAGCAAGCAGGGCTTTGCCGTTCAGTTTTCAGGTAGGCTTTATGGTATTTCCTCAGCGTTGTCCAAACATGATCTTGCTAATAAGTGATTTTTCCCCTACCAAGTACCGATGGGTGAGCAAATGCCTTGTATTGAACCCAATAGCAGGGACTCTGCAGTCTGTAGAAGTACAGAAAACTTGTCCTTGCAATGCAAGTGACTTCTGTGCTGCTCTGTGCCACAGTCACCTTCACAGTGTGAACTTGGCAACAAGACGTGGAACAGTATGTTGAGAAGGGATTAGAGACATTTTCTACCACATTTCCCGTGGTCCCTTAGAGATTGCAGTACGCAGAGAGCTTCTCCCGGACGTTCTGAGAGCCGCTGGTCAGTGGTCTCTGAAAACCAAGTCCATGTAAAATCCCTCAGGTTCGATCCCCTGAGAGGCAGATCACAAATAACTCCTGAATACCTTGGCTGTAGCGATGTCATTGCAAGCAGCAGCACAACATGAGATATAATGCAGCTGAAAGGTGGTCGTTGCCCAAGACCTCACCTTACAAACACGTTTATTTCAGTTATATTAGGGTAATAAATTTCTGTATTCATATGCAGGCTTCCAGGATCTGAGCCTTCACTGGCATGGATCCATTAACCAAACAGGCAGATACTTGTTTTGGAGGTGCTGGTAACCAGCTTGGGGACTGTTGGGTAAACGGTCATAAGACTTTCCTGGGATTTGAACATACCTAAGCAGCAAGGCTCATGCCGTCTCCCCCAAGTTTTTTGCCCGCTGCTTTCTGTTCTGGGTGCCTTACGTGGCTTCGAGGACAGGCCAGCTCTTTGGGAAGAACAGAAGGATAGAATCTCTTCTGGGGTGACCAAGAGAGAGGGACAGCTTTGGTGTCACTGAAGGTGACTGTGTCTTTCTCTCCCTTTGCCAGGCTTGTGTCTCAGTGGCAGGGAGACCCGAGTAGGCTGCTAACTTGTCTTATCTTCAGTGGCACAGAGAGCAAGAGAGGGATTTTCTCTGATTCTTTTAAGAAAAGCTTGCTATAAACTGGCTAGGTGTAATGGACTCGTGTCAACTTAGCAAGAAGTAAGCTCCGCTCAGCTGCCTGATACAGAGCTGGTCCTTATTGACTACTCCTGCTCAAAGCCTTTGTTCACAAGGTGTGACTAAGTAGTCAGACCTAAGCTCAGAAGTATACGGTTTCGGATCTTGTGGACTTTCATGATCTATATAAGCTTACAAAACTTCTCTTTCTCCATGACCTTCCATGCTGTTAAATAGCTCTGGTGTTGGCAGGCCTTGAGCTCAGTCAGCAGTGAAGTCAGTGGAGCTGTGTGCTTTGCCCCCAGCTGAGAAGCTGCTGCCCTCCTGAAAGCAGAGGGGATGGGATAGCAGCAGGGGATCATCTCATACCTCCAAGGGACACAGCAGTGAGACTGGGAGGGAAACGTGCGTTTCTGAAAAGTCAGGCTTGATTCTTCACAAGGCTAAAGGCTGAATTCCCCTGCCACTCAGTGGAAGTGAAAAGAATTCTATAAAAGTGCCACGTAAGATCAGTGGATGCCTGGACTTATTAAGTAAACATGCATGTGCACAGTTATATGTCAAACTTGCTCTCTCTGTAATGCACTTGAACTTTCCATTCCCTAGAGCCTTCCCCAGCTGGAGTAGCAGATGCTCGGTGCAAAGTAAAAGTCAGTTTTTGTGTATGTGGCAACTTTAAGGGCTACCAAAGGAGCAAAGATGGAGAAATAAAGTTGTCGTTTGGATATGTGTTTAGGGACAGAGTCTAAGTACAGTGTTTGGCATCTGCGGTGTGAATTTTTGGTTTCTCTCCCCTTGTGTCTTCCTTACTGTCCTCTGCAAATGAGTCAAGATGGAAATAGGCAGAAACGTGATCTTATTATTGGGATGATAGCCTGGGATTTGGAATAGCCAGGAAACAATCTCCCACTGATTCCCTCCGTAGTCTATGGCAAAAGCGGTCGTCTTTCCCTCCTATGCCTCTGTTTCAACACTGGAAACGATGCTTCTTCCTACTGCAGAGAGCGCTGGGATAAATAAACTACAATAGTAAAGGTTATACGATAATAGGTTAGGAATGGCTTGATTCAGACTGAAATTAGGACCTGACGAAGCTAAAGTTATATCTGATAGAGCCTGAAAATCAATGTTTGTAACAAGGGAAGGTCTCTACTGGAAGGGCCGTGGTGAGGACGGGGGAATGTTCATGAAGATCTTTTTAATCATCTGCAAAATATTTTGTGCTACGCAGGCAGAGAATTAGGAAATGTATTTCATATAATGGGGAGAGTGAGGGGGGGAGTTTTGTAGTTTTAGTATGAAATTTAGTATGTTTAAAATGGCTGAAAAAAGGGAAAATATCTCATTTTTCATGAAGCAAGTGGATGTAAGCCAGGAGGAAATTCTGCAAGCCCATATTAAACACATTTTAAATACTCTTCAGTTTCTACTGCCACTTCCTGCAACGACCCAGGGATTCCCCAGAACGGGAGCCGGAGTGGTGACAGCAAAGAGGCAGGTGACTCCATCGTCTTCCAGTGTAATCCAGGATACGCTCTGCAAGGGGAGGCCAAAATCACTTGCGTGCAGATTGAGAACAGATTTTTCTGGCAACCAGACCCTCCCTCCTGCACAGGTACGTTACATGCATCTGTCCTCTCGTTGCACCAGGTTCCCTGCCCTGATTTCATTGCAAGACTTACGTATCTGAAAGGGACAAATCCCACGTAGTTGGAAGAGACGTACAACAAGGTACCCACGCCTCAGGTAGCTGTCCCACTGCCTACAGACTTACTCCTTAGGTTTGTTCCTAGAGAGCTTAGAGCTGCTGTTTAGCTCTGTCTCTGCAGCGTGCCTGGGACAATGAGGACTTAGGTGAATAATTTCTGCATACAGAGGTAGCAAATTCCGTGGCAAGAAAGAGCTAGCTGACGTTTTCCTTGAGCTCATACAGTAATAAAAGCGGCTCATAAAAGGGATCTTTTTAATATATCCAGAACACATGAAAATAGTCATGCTAAGCACATAAAAACAATAAATATTCAATTTGCTGGCCAATTAAACGCTAGCCAGAAATTACCTATCCTGTAACCTTCACTCCCGTTTAGGCAATGCTATCCCAAGCAAACCAAATTAGTTAATTCTGTTCCTAAAATCTTACTGAAAGCCAGCTAGGAAGCTTCTCACAGCATGCACAGGACTTATGCTCCCTGCAGGATGGCTTGATTTCTGAGTGGCCATCGTGATAATCTAGTGTGGCACCCTTTAGACCTGATGGGGACTGTCTTTTGAATCTTCCTGGAGCTATAATGAAGTCAGGTTGCATGTCATGCCCATCTGGCCGTTTCCCTGTTGAGTTCTCTTTCACACCAGAGGCTGGGCTCTTGGTCCTTTTCAGAAACCTGTGGCCAATGCCTTAATCTCAGTGCACGATGATCTGAGCTAAGGGAATTCTCATGGATCTTCTTTATTGTAGGCTATTTGACTTGGAGATAGCGTGTTGAATTCTTTTTGAACAGAGGCCTGGCAGTCTTGTTTTAGGAGACATAAGCTCTGTGGTAGGCCATGAAAAACCTGAAAGCAATTTCTCGCTCCTTCCCTCCCTTCAGTCGCAAAGGATTTGGGGGAATAATCAGTGGATAGATAAAGTTAGTTTTACAGTGGCTATGTAGCAGGCTGCCTAGTTAGAGCCAAGTGGGAAAATGGAGTTTAATTTAAGGTTTGGATTTAGTGTTTGTATTTAGCATTTCAAATACATTTTCTCATCTTTATTGTACGACTTTTGCGTTCCCCAAATAACGTGGGCTGAACTGAAACCTCAGCTGAAAACAGCCCCCAGGGATTTGGGGCAATTGAAGTCTGGATCCGGACCCAACTCCAAACGGCTGTGACTTGAACCAGTTTCTAGTTTAAATCCTTTGAAGACTATGGGTGGCGTTTTCAAAGAAATCAGAGGGCGTTAAAGAGTCAGCTCCGTTAGGCTTTTGAAAAATGAGTCTGTATACTTTAAAGTTTCTTCTAAATTTTCCCTTGACTTTACACTTTGAAAAAGGAACGCATCCTAAAGGTTAATATGAAGGTTAATGGACACAGAACATACGCTTGTGGTTCTTCCAAAGTGTTTGGGCGTGACCTTGAGCTGACGCCTTCTCTCTCTGTTCTGTGCAGTGATTTCCTTGCCTGTTCAACTGGGATAACGATTCTGTTGTCTGCAGTAACCTGTGAGTGGGCTGGGCAGAAGTTACTTTCAGGCCTCGGAGGAAGGGTCTTTAGTTTAAGTTTGTGATGTGAACTTTATAATACAGCCCAACTGAATTAACTGATGTTTGGAGTTTCTTGGGTGTTTGCAAGGAACGCTTTATAAGTGCCCACAGGACACATTTTGCGAATGTTAAAAAAAACTTCTGTTTTTTTAAAAGGAGTCTTAACCTCTCTCTCACACAGAGAAATGCATGTGTTTCTACACAAATGTGCGCACGCACACATGCTTATTCATGCTTTTGTGGAGGATCCTTGCAAGATTTGTCCTCTTATATCTGTCGCACGCTACTTCCTTTCCCACTTAGTGTTTGCGTTGCTGTAGACTGGCTAGTGCCAAGCGCACGAGCTTAAAAAAGGTTATGCTACCCCGTCTCTAGCCTCATCCCAAATCTGGCAGGAAAGATGGATCTGAGCCACAGGGGGAATCTTAGAGCATCAGCTCTCCTGAAGAGACTGTAGAAAGGCTGACTAATAAATCAGTCACGAACGTTTGCCACAGTGGAAATGTATGCAGTCACTTTGAGCCTTTAAAAATAATAATTGATTTTTCAATCAGCTTGGTGTTTAATGTGTTGGTGACTGTAATAAACACGAACAAATCATTAGTCCCAGATGACATGTTTTCACTTATTTAGCAACAGTCCAGATTTTGATGGGGAGTTGCCTAAATATGTGCAACAGGAAAACATAAAGCATCTCTCTCTCCCTCCAGTTACTCTATATTATATTATGTTATCTTATCTCATGATGATTGTAATAGCATCCACAGCTCTTTCTCGGGGCGAACGTATCCTGCCTGGTATGACGGAATCCTGATCTCCCCTAGGGCCACTGCGTGCTTTGCAATACGTATCTTAATGCCTTTCTGACAACGCAGTCAACTGTCTCTCCGTCCCCTTATCTATCCATATAGCTTGCTCTTTCTGCCTTCCTGTATGTCATCTACTGTTTTTTTTTTGTTTGTTTGTTTGTTTTAAAGTTTTTTCTAAGACCAAGCCTCATCCCTGTGCTTGGTTTCTTCCTCAGCTCCCTGTGGAGGTATCTTGACAGGACCGGCCGGAGTCATCTTGTCCCCCCAGTACCCAGAGCCCTACCCGCCGGGGAAGGAGTGTGACTGGAAGCTGACCGTCTCGCCCGACTACGTCATTGCCCTGGTGTTCAATACGTACGTGCCCGCGAGCTGCCCGGTGCTGCTGCCGCGGAGAAGGGGAGGGGAGCGCAGCCTGGGCGAGCTGGCTTGGGTCTCCTATCTAAAGGAACTGAACCTGGTAGGAGCATCCCATAGCGTGGAGTAATCTGTTCTCAGATGGACTCTAATTTGGGAGAAGATGCACGTATTTCAACTGCAGCTTCTCCTTGATATACATGTGACTTTTAAAGAGCATAACTGTTCAACTCATATGGCATAGGAAACCCCTACAGCACCATCAGTCATTGACTTTTTATGTGGCCTTGACAGTAATACTGGTCCTCAATTGCTTATGTACAGAAGGGAGATAGAAACATCCTGTTTTTCTGCCTTCATGCTGCCTAGCTTAGAAGCTGTCTGAGGGCAGAAGCAGTCTCCCGGCTGTGTGGTTGTACAGCCCCTCGAGGCCACAGTCTCTTGTTCCCCAGGGGCTGCTGTAGTATCCTTAATTCACTTCAATTATACTTCAAGCGTTCCTCCTGTTTTCTCAGCTTTAATTTGGAGCCTGGGTATGATTTCCTTCACATCTATGACGGACCTGATTCGCTCAGCCCCCTCATTGGAAGCTTTTATGGCTCCCAGCTGCCCGAGAGGATAGAGAGCAGCAGTAACAGCCTCTTCCTCGCTTTCCGCAGCGATGCCTCTGTGAGCAACACTGGATTTGTAATCGACTACACAGGTAAGAACCTTCTGTGGGGAGCACCTGGCCCATCTGACTCAGCAAAGTACTTTGGATTTTACCTGCACTTACCTCAGGTTAAACCACCCAGTTGAACCAGATGGAAGAGGCTCTCGAAACGATGGGCAACCTCTTTTCAGCTAGGAATCCTGCTGTCTTTGTGGCTACGACCAAAGCTGATTTATAGGCATGGTAGGGGAAGCCGGGAAGTAGAGGCGATCCCGTAAAGGGCCCCCATCCATAAAGGTAGCTAAGAGCAGCATAAGAGGACTGTCACGTGGCTGAGGATCAAGCTTGGTTACTTCCATGTGGAGCTTTGATTAGCAGAGAAGAAAATCTTGGCATTTTTTCTTGAGAAAAAATGGGGGGAGCAGTACCAGGAAGTATATATATTTATGCACAGATTCTATTCTGTGTAACCTTCCTTGCTCCACACTGAACGTATATAGTTCTGTCTTCTCCTTAGCGAGCAGAACATGCCACTTAGTTTCAGATTTGAGCTTTCAGGAGGAGCAGAGTGTTGAACTGTTAGCTGGATATTAGGAATGCTCCACGTTTGCCTTGGATTGAAGATTTATTCTTAGCAGTAAGAACAACTTTGTCCGAGAAAAGGAAGTGCAGACATACATATCCAATATGGGATCTCAATCTGAATTGTTGATACTGTCATTCAAAAGAGTGCCAAATTATTGGGGGGCTGTCTTTAGAGGCAAGGTTCATGGAGGATTCGTGGTGCTCTCAAGTCAGTGGAGCTCTGCTGAAGTCGATGCGTTTTGCTCCACTTAAGATTCTAGAGCATCTGTTTTAAAAAAAAAAAAAAAACAATCACTGAAGGAATGATTTCACTAGTAATCAATGAAATGAGCAGAACAGTCAGTTCATAGGTATCTTGTGTTATTAGAATATTGGTTTTTCTTCTTGCTTGAGGAGGAAATAAAACTTTTTGGTGGCTTCAGCTCTAATGGTGAGAGACAGGGGATGTGATGAGAGTTTTCCCTGGGTGCTTTTAGTTCTCTGTGATAGAGCAAGGTGGGAAGTGACAAACCCAACAGAATTGTTCCAGGAGACGAGGGGAAAAAAGCCTGAGCGCTTTGGCGGAGTATGTTCCGTGTTTGTGCGTCATGTACATAGAAGAGCGGCATTACTACAAACCGTAGTAAATAACGTGCTCTGAAAAACTGGATCTGAGGAGCTGAGGTTATGCAGAAGAAGAGTAAGAAATGCAAAAAACAGGTCTAGAAAGAAACGATCCTTCAAACCCACTTTGCCCTATGTGGAGTAGTTTGCAGTATGGGAAGGAAGTGTTGGTGGCTTCAGATGTCCTGGATGTGCGCCGCTGTGAAACACAGCTTTGCGTCCGTGATGTACACTGTGAAACAGGCTGCTGAGCCTTGCTGGCCCAAGCCTGTGCTGCAGGAGCAGTATTAGCTTGCGCTGGAGAGCTGACGGGCTGCTGCGGGCTTTCCAGGGCTGCTGCTGATCGCTCTGCGTGATCGGGCAATTCTCTTCTCCCACTTCCTGGCTCCGGTCTGTGGTTCCTGCTTTGGGATTCACCTGGCCAAAGCTTAAATGATAGTGTTCTGATCTGAAATGGCAACTCCTGTCTGTTATGCTGAACGGATGGATTTACCTCCAGTGCAGTTATAAAATAGTAAGACAAGACAATTAGCACTGCTTAAGGTTCAACAGATTACAAGTTTGCTGCTTCCATGAGAATAATTTTACTGAAAATTCAGTCCTGGGTTTTGTTTCTTTTCCCTTTTCTTTTTGGGCTGCCAGAAAGTAGTTAACGAATGAAATCTCATTAAGTTAGGGTTGTTGTGCGATGCGATTTTCTCCTAAACCCTCCTGCAGTGTTCATCGTGCCTACATGCTTCCCACAAAGCCAAACTGCTGGGAGAAAAGAATGAGGCTTTAAGTTTGCTCATTAATTTCCCTGCACTTTAAAAGGAGCCCAGGATTCAAGTCAGAGAAGCTGCAGAAAATAGAACTTTGGGGAATAGAAGAAGAAGAAAGGCAGGCGGGGAGGGAGCATGTGTGCAAGAAAATCAAATATCCAGCTCGGCTCATTGCCAGCGTGGAATCCCAAGTACAGTTCAAAGGCACTGTCTTCTCTCAAACCTCTCTGCGTCTGGTCACTGCTGCAGCCCACGTGGGCTTTTGCCCCTCGCTCCCTAAATGCCATACATAGCCTGGGTCAGCTGTATACAGAGCACTGTTAATTACTGGGGGCTTTGTGGTCCTCTTTTGGTGATGTTCGGGGGGGAAAAAACAAAGCAGCCACCTGTCAGTCCCTCTGTGAAATCCTGCATCTTCTCTGGGACTGGGATTGTATCACTAGCCTGAAGCTACAGCGTGTCGGGTGAATTTCAAACAGCCTCAGCTCTTCATTTGAAATTGTTTCAGGGGGCAGTGGCTCTTCAAGAGAAAGTTCTCCTCTGGGGCTGGGAGGAATGGAGAAAACGGAGAGAGAAGAAAGCTTTGGGCTTTTATTGTGCCAGTTTTTGCATAGAGCTTGGCAGTGAGAGTGAAGTGGGAATGCAGCAATGCCACAGAAAGGTGTTCTAGGGCAGATCTTCAGCTAGGCAATCGTAGAGTTTGGCTACACTCATACGCTACACCGGCAAGATTTCTGATAGCTGAACACACACATCTTGGCTTTGCACCCGTGATGCACCATCAGCCGTACAGCAGAACGAAAAATGAAACTAAGACTGCTAGCAAAGAAATCCTAAAAGTACATTCTCACCTCACACGCTTAAATTTATGGAGGTTTGGTGTACTATCTGCATAAAACCTTGGATTGGTTCAAAGAGCAAGGTGAAACTGAAAAGCAATCATTTGGAATTTCAGCTGGAGAAGAACTTATTCTTTGGGGTGCCCTACCGATAGTGAGTAGATTGGGGTTTCAAGCTAGTTCCGGAAAAGAAAGAAGTGCTCTCTTCAGGCATCCCATTGCAGGTCTTTTGAAATTATCATCATAATCCTTTCGGAGTGCTTGTTCGCAACACCGGCTTAGTTAATGGCATTTCTGTGGAAGCAGTGTGCTTCGTTCATGGTGGATTCACTTGAGCCCAACAAGTGTCAGCCTAACAAATCAAGAGGACGATAAGTCCTTGATTCCAAAATAGGAAAGACAGTTATAAAGCCGGAGCATAAATGCAGGGAAAAGATTGCTTGCAACATACCTAAGATTTATCTCCTGTTCCAGTTGCTGCTTAAGAATATTTTATGAATGTCTCAGCTACAGAAAGCTAAGGTTTCTCTTTGGGAAATCAGCCGTGTTCCTGTAATCAGTTTACACTGCAGCATCTTGCAAACTGCAGGCTTTATTGAGATTCATTTAACATATTCATGCACTCTGATATTTTTACACAGAGACTGACCACACTTCATTGGTAATAGGAAGGGCAGGCTTGCCATTTAGAGTGCTTTTTCCAGATAATCTTCCCCCCACCTTATCCTTTGTGAGCGTTGGGGATCTAGTTGTTGTGGACGCACAAGCGAGTCAAACTCCATTAGTCCCTCCCTCCATATGAGCGACGTGTCCCGCTGGTTCGGGGCTGAGTGTGACCCAAGGTGCGTATTAAGGTTTGGCTGTTCATTCAAAGGGCACAAAGTGGGAGGGAGTTTCCAGGTTTGGTGCTCCAAAGCAGGAGGTTTTTTAGTACTTCCTGTTTCTGTTGCAGGCCAGAAGTGAAGAGGCGTGAAATTGAAAGCAAATGAAGCAAAACTGATTACTTTTCACCCTTCCAAAGGAAGGAGGAAAAAAAAAAAAAAACCTTATTTCAAATCCATTATTGTTTTACCAGAATTATTTTGCCTGTCCTGAGCTTCTAAACATATACTCAGCATTTCTTATCGGTTATTAAAGGTGGAAATTCTCCACAGAAACACTATTCTGTATAATCTATTGCAGGACAAGCTGTTTAAGAATAGCCAGTGTTTTGCGGTCAGAAATGGGAGATGAAGCTTGACCCTAAAACAATTTGCATTTGAAAATACAAATCTGTGCCTTGGAAGAAGAGGCAGTCCATTTTGCTGGGATGAGTCAAAGGAGGCTGTACTCCTGGCTGGCTGGCTGGTGCAGCAATAGCAAAGCTTATGGGGATGCCAAAGCTGCACCTGGACTGGAGCATCCTCGTGTAATATGTCCTTTCTTCCGTAGATCATGACTGCTGTCTGTGAAAATTTGTCCTTTAGGCAATTCCTCTGAGCGTTGCTTTTAAGGCTTAGTGCTTATTAAAGGCTTGCACTTGCTCACGGATGTGGAGCTCACGATGCACAGGGAGGACCGCCGCTCTCTGGTGAAGCTGCTCTTGAACACATAAATGAGAGCCTGACCTCCTGGTCTAAGAGCTCATGCAGGATTTGAGTTTTCCTTGGGAAAGGAAAGGAGAAGCAAAGGACGTTTCTCCTTTCCCTGGACTAACGAGCCAGTTCTCGTGGCATTTTTGTCTTGACTCTTTTCCGAATGTTTGTCAGCCTGGGTACATGTCAATTGGGACATCAAGCTAATTCTGAAGTATCTGAGTGAAATAAAGCCTTAATTCTAAATGGACAAGTAGTGCTGTACTCACTTTGTAGTCCAATAAATCAAAAGCTTGGGAAGCTGTGGCTTTCCCACATCCCCCTTATGAGTATTTAGCTGTCACCACACAACCAAATACCTCCTTAGAGTTGAGCTGCTGCCTCCTTTGCAGCGTACTGCTGAGGATCATCGTGGCAGTTTGCAAGCAGAAGAGCGTTCGGCTGGAGGTATGCGTAGGATTAGTGTGTCAGGATGCATCGTCAGCTAAGGTGAGCGGTGTCCCTGGAGGCACGGACCCTCCAGGGAAAAGAGAAGCAGTCAAGGATGAGGAAAACACAACAAAAGCCGCAGAGGCATCGTTCAGCAATCCACCACCACCCCCTTTTCAGCAGTCGGCAGAGTGACTTGAGCACTGAACATCATGATTTTTCAAAGCAAGAGCAGAGGCTGAGATCAAGCACATGGCTAAGACATCTGACAGCTGGGTGGGAGGCTGATTGGCAGGTTGAAGCCACATCAACTTGTTACATGAAAGGCAGTGAGACTGTTCAAAACAACAAGAGAGGCATAAAGTGGCCGTGAAGAAGCTGTTGGGTGCAGCTTTTGTATGGAAGGGTCTTTAAAATGCCTATTAGCAGTTCAGAGAAATAAAGGCTTGCCAAGTAAGAAAATATTTTGGAGAAGTGAGTGGTGCATTTACTCTTGCAAATGGCTTGTATGCAGCACTGGACTCTGAGCCATGCAGCTGCACTGCTCCTCTGCAGTGCCCTGCTTCACTGATGCCCAGAAGCAACGGCTGTGTGCAGAGGTACCCGATTCTCACCAGAGCCCATGTCCACATCTTGCACTGCAGGTCTGCAGTTCGGGTCTGATCCTTGTCTCGACTCCAGGTCTGGAGTGTGATGTTCACCTCTGTGAGCGTGTTGTGACGACCAGTCTGTACAGGAATATTGCATTGACTTGTAGGAATGGTAAAGGCTGCCTGCTTACTTTCCAGTGGTGGCTGATGTGCCACAAGCCTGAAGATGAGTAAGGACAGAATGTGTTCACAGGAGCTGACCAGAGAGCGAAGGACTTCGGTTTCCAGTGCTGTGTCTGAAACAAGCTTTCTGGTCCTTATATCTTACTTAGGATAATCAAGATTTCTCTATTATGTCTGGATGATATCTCAGCAGGAGCTACTCAGATCACACACAGGAAATAACGGGATAAAAATGTTGGTTGAATTCTTCTGTCTTAGAGCCAGAATCTTCTTCATCGTATTCTGACTGTGAAAGCTCTTTTTAAAATGCTGCATGAATTGTGCTTCTAGACACCCATGCACGTGTTCCTGCCTGTCCACGAGCAGGTAAACTGGAACATCCTATTTTCTTTTGGGGGAGCAAAGATGCTCAGAGGAGAAGTGGCTTGTCCAAAGTCACACAGCAAGACGCTGCAAATTTAAAAGAGGAGCTCTCGTTCTTGACCCAGGCCTTTCCCTGTTGGGCTCTGTCTCCTCTGAGAGCAGTGGCAGTGACTACTGGTGGTTCACTGACCACAGCTGGTCCACAGAAAGCTCATGAGGTTGGTTCGCAGAGTCATATCGTCATTTTGACTTTAAAATTTGGTCTGTGAGAAGTATTGAGGGTTCACCAGCCTGTGGCCCCAAAATTGGGAACTGGTGTTGCGGGGAAGAAGTAGCGATCTCACTTGCTGTGGTTCAGGGAAGCTATTCCTCATGGAAACATTTCACGTTTTTTTGTCCCCTGTTTACCTGAATCACTAGCTAGTGGTGCAGCTGTTGTATAAAGGAAACCATGGAGCTAATCCTATTTTTCACTACAAACAAAGAAACAAAAGCAAGATCTGGGGTCATCTTTAATGAGCAATTTCCAAATGACAAAGGAGCAGGATTAATCAAAGCCTCTAATTATTTCATAGAGGGGAGGAAAAGGAAAAAAAAAGAGAAAGAAGAAAGCCTTCAGAAGGAGAAGGAGAGAAATATACATATCCTGACAGCTTCATAGTCTTTACTGGAATTTTCATATGTAAATGGGGTTTTTAACTCTGCAGGGCATAGTGAACAGAGAGAAAAACGTCTTCATTTTGTCTAACTGCTTGTAATTATTTTGCAATAATTGCAGCCATGCTGCACATCTGGAGAGTCAACCCTCTAGCACATGGCACATTTTCATGGTGAGAACAGAAAGCTCTTAGGTGCTGGAATGATAGGTGCCAAGGAGATAACGCGAACAGATGAAGCACATCTAAAATATGTTGCATGTTCCGTCTGTGTTTACATGCTCGTGTTTGCAATATTTCCGCAGCCTGTCCTCAGTGCAAGAGAGAAAGAGTGCGGTTAAATCAAAGCTTTGCCTGATTGATTGGATTTTAGGTACCACTGAATAAGCGTGTGCACTGAAGCTTTTGTCTTCCGGTATACTTGTGCTGGAACTGAGCGTTGGGATGGTCTGGAGCAGAATCTGGCCTGTGTAGTTCCCCCGATTCAGCAGCGTGAGAGAATGCATGAAATCTAAATCTTATAAACAGCACTAGTCCGTATAACATGCTCAAGTGGAATCCCGGATGAGAAAAGCCCAAAAACGTACCGTTGTCCAAAACTTTAAATAGCTATGTCAGACCAGTAAAGATCTTGGCAATTTTATTTTGCAGAGAATCCCAGGGAGTCTTGCTTCGATCCTGGCTCTATTAAGAATGGTACGCGAGTGGGAACAGATCTGAAGCTGGGATCAACAGTCACCTACTACTGTGACGGGGGGTACGACATTGAGGGGGTCTCCACCCTGACGTGCGTAATGGGAGGGGACGGGAAACCCACATGGAACAAGCCTCGACCTACCTGCACAGGTAAGGCCCTGGGGGAAATGCTCTGCCTGTCACCAAATCCTGCAGCAGTCTATCTGTATGCCAAGCTGGATGTTACTTTTGCGTAGAGGGGCTTGGGAGAGGGCAGAGATGATTTTTCCCAGTGTTTCATAATTTTCCCCCTTTTTAACACCCTGATGCCAGGAAGAGCTCAGCTCTCTGTATATATTATCTCATAACTTGACTTATATGACTTTTCTTCAACCTTCTTTTGAGAGAGGCAGAAAACTGGACTAAATGGATTATCTGTTGGATCTAGTGTGGCGAAACGTGTGTCCCTAGCGCAGGACAAGATTCAGGAAGCTACTTAAACATTTGCTCAGCCTGAGCACTGCTAATCGAAGCCCTTAAGCATGTGCTTTCCTGAGCAGGGTCAGAGTTTATTGAGAAAACAGGTGGCGTTTTTTTTCTTAGAGGTTCTGGTTTTTGGGGTGTCTCGTTTAATGAAAAAGGAGTGTTTAAATGAGGGGTTTACAGTCAGACCTTCTTAATATGAGAAGTGAGATGAGACAGGTGTCAGTCTGTGACGCGACTGGAGGAATTCCTGACGTGACAACACGCCGGCGGGGAGGACCGTGCTGCTGCCGGGAGCGAGGCTCTTGCTGCTGAGAACGGCGAGCAGAGTCGGAGCCCGTTTGCCAAGTCCCGCACTGCGGGCTCAAACGGAGAGCAGGGCGAATCGCACGTTAGGCTGCGGTACCATACATGGTGTCCCATAGCCTTGGCACGGTCTTTGTAATTAGATGTGAAGCAGGCACGAGCTGAGGGTAGGATAAGCCTCATTTTTCTTAATAAGACCTTGCGGAGAGAGCTGCAACGCCTGAAGCACGGAATCGATCGATCATAGATCGGGGCGGCTGACGCTGCAGCGCTAGGAACGCGTGGGCTGCGATGGATTTCGAAGCAGCAAGAAAAGAGGCTGATGGTTTGAGGCAGGCTTCGGTAGGGGCTCACGTAGCGCTCTCCTCTTGACTTTCTCTTCCAGCACCCTGTGGCGGTCAGTACACGGGCTCAGATGGCGTAGTTCTCTCTCCGAATTATCCCCAGAATTACACCAGCGGACAAGTCTGCTTGTACTTCATTGTTGTGCCGAAGGACTACGGTATGTTTGTCAGATTCTCAGACACCTGCAAGTCTGTCCTGCTCTCTGTCCAACTCTGTTTTTAACAAAGCAGTAGATCAAGTATATGTACAAATGGAGATAAGGAGGACTGGTAAACATTGTTGATAAGTGGTACTGTTATCCACTAGTTATGTTTTGTTGCAGTCAGTAAGGATGATGGGAATTTTCTGAATTTTGAAATTATCAAAAATGAGGAAAAAACACAAATCTAACAAAAAACACAGTTTTGTGATTCCCCTTCCAGTTCCTCCGCTGTATCCAGTAGCGCAGAGTTAAAAAAATCAGTAAAAAACATATAATTTATGGTGATTAATGCTAGCAGCAGACCTCTGAGACCTCTGTATTCACCGTAAACACGTGCTAACTCTGGTGCTAAGTAACCTGTCTGCATAGAAAAGTGCGTATATGTTTATTTTTCTGGATGTACAGCTATGGTACTCATGAGTAAAATGTTTTTCATTTTTAAATTACATTTAAGTTAAATTTCAAGATTAAACAGCATTTTCTTTGAATAATTGAAGGTGTATCTAGAAGATGTTGTTAACCTTGTCCAGTGGTTAGGATTGACCACTGTGAGTTAGCCCTTGCCTGGTGTTTTATAATCGTACTGATCATGGTCGGTTGACGAAAAGTTGTCCAAACTGAAATGGTGTTTTTTCTAGGCTTTCTAAGATGTTTTAGGGCAGTCTATTGTATTCTTTCCTATATCTTGTCTGAGTAAAATTTCTTTGTAGAGGTTATTTTTCCTGTATGTTTACCATGACTTGGGCATGATACGTTACAGAATGATTACAGTACAATTACAGATCAAAGCAAAGCTCCTTTTGAGAGAGGAAAGAGATCCTTGCTGGTAGCTCTGATTGTGACAGTACCAAATCTGTGGTTCAGTAACATGCTTGAAGGAGTAGAATGGAACTACTGCTTCTTTGAGTGCTCTGCTGAATTAAGGCCTAAACGTGCATCAAAGCCACATATGCTTAAGTGGACCATCATTCATTTTGTCGACTGATGCTGGTTAATTTTGGTCGGAGTTTGGATACGACAACGATGGACATTGTGGAATCCCCTGAGACAGCTTCTGGGTGGATATTAATATTGGTTAACATATTTTCTTGTTTAAAGGGAATTTAGAGCTCCTTAAGAGCCCTTGCACTGACAGCTGTGGCTAATGAAGGTCTCTAAATTCTGCTGTCTGATACCGCTTCTCGGTGTGTTATATTGATCTAACTCCAGGCAATCCCTTTGGCCCTTTCAGTGGTTTCTGATTTCCTCTGCTTAGATAGCAAGGTGTGAAATAAGGATACTCTTTCCTGTCTTGCACCAGACTTGAGTTATCAGCTCCTCTCACTCAATGTGCCCCTCTGCCTGTGCGGAGCCAGGTTGGATCTGAGTTCCTGGATCTACCTGGTGAAACGCTGCGCCAGCTCCGATTGTTCCCTTACCCCTTTTGGCTTGTTTTACTGTAGCTGATCTTGACGTTTGTCTAAAGAAACACAATATCTAGCGGGCTAGAGAGCGAGTCTTGATCTGCAAGTCTGACTTCTGCCCGCAGTGGGATGACAGCTAAATTAGTTTCTCTTCTTCACCCGCTACTTTTCAATAGCTTCATTAAAAACAGCCAGGAAAACCATTAGTAGCGAATGTTGTGCGTTTCCTGTTTCCTTCAGTTTTCTGATTTTGAGGACAGCAGGCGTCAGGGTGTGCCATAGTCACTTCTTCAGTGTTCCCAGCATCAAAGCTATGTTGGAAACCTGGATGTGCAGGAAACAAATGTTGTAGCTTGGTGGATGATGAATTTCACAGCAAGGGTCCTCTTAGCTTGTGAATCTGTAACTGGGCGCTTGAAAATGCAAAGGCAGGAGGGGAAACATAGGAAAAAAATAGCTTCTGTGTGCAGGTTTTGCAGGTCTGGAAAAAAACTGTTGTTGTGTTCTGAAAAATATAGATAAATAACTAAAGTCTCCTTGCTCTAGCTCAAAAAATGCTCCTACCTTCTCGTTATTATTTTCTCCCGTTTATTAGCTCTGCCTGCTCCTAGATGCACTGACAATGTATTCAGGAAGACTCGCAGCACAGAATAGCTCCCTCGTTAGCAATCTCCATAGACAGGCTTAGGATTGACTGTTAATAAAAATTTGAGTGTCTTCTCTCCCAAGCAATGGTCCTCCTTGACCAGAGAGGCTTGATGAAGAAATTAAGCTCTCCACAACAAGGACAGTTATTTTGTTCAGGTTTTGTACAATACCTTAGCGAGTGGGGGCCCAGTTCATGACACGGGCTCACTACAAATAATAAATAATAATTATCAGTTGGTGAAATTACATACCTTGTGGTTTTTGGTCTGGCAAAGAGGATGATTCATAAAACAATCCCTTTTGGCTTATGAATCAGTGTTAAAGCATACTGGCAAGAAAACACTGGGGAGGCTGCTTGCTGCCTCTGTTTTGCCTACTTTGTGGATAAATAAAGGGCTTCCATCTTCCAGGGCTGTCAGTCAGGCCCTTTTCATCATTGCCAAGCTCTCAAATAAAAGTAGCTGAACTATCTCGGCTCCAAGGCTGGGCTCTGTGGGACTGCGATGGAGCCGTCCTGCTGCCCCCTGACAGCACTCCCTCCCTTCGCAGTGGTCTTCGGGCAGTTTGCCTTCTTCCAGACCGCGCTCAACGATGTCATTGAAGTTCACGACGGCCCCAACCAGCACTCGCGGCTCCTCAGCTCGCTCTCAGGCTCGCATACAGGTAGGGAAGTGTCCTTGTTGTTTCTGGAAACAGAGAGCTTTTAAAGGTCGAAGGGTTCCTTCCTCTCCAGACGTCACTGCCAATCTGTAAGCGAACATCGGGTCATGAAACAGGGAGGTGCGTTGGCTGTATCCAAGGTAGCCTGCAGGGAAACCTGCCCAAACCAGGAGTGATCAGCCACTGACATCAGGTGTCTCTTCTCTTGGGTGCTCAATGTAATCCTTGCACCCACTACCCTCCGAATTACCTGTGTCTCCTACTTTGCTGCTAGTCACCCTTGAAAGTCTTGGCTATAGACTTTATTATTATTCTGTTGGAAAATTTGAAGCCAGCTCTTTCGCTACATCTTTTCTTTTCTGAAAGAAACACGGGCAACAGCCCTGAGCTGTCCACAGAAATAAGGTGAGCACCACTCCCTCAGCCCCTCTTTTCAGCCAGATGTCCTTACAAGATCGTTTCTCGTACCTCTTTGTTTCTAAGGTGAAATTAAGACTGCTCAGGGCCTTAAGCTAAAATGTACAGTCTGCCATTTAGCACCTTGCTCTGTGCAAAACAGTATTCTGTGCAAGGCCTGGAAAGGCCTCAGGAAGCCGTTTCTCTAGCTGGTGCTGTAATTTGTCTCTTCTGTTTTCTTTCCTCTCTCCTCCTCCAGGTGAATCATTACCATTAGCTACCACCAACCAAATTCTTATCAAATTTAGTTCCAAGGGTCAGTCGACAGCCAAAGGTTTTCATTTTGTCTACCAAGGTAGGTACAGTTGTGTTCTGGAGATATCCTCAGATTGGTTATGCGATAACTGGTCTAAAATATAATGATGTCCTGAAGCGTCCTGAACACCATCAACTGCTTTTGGCATATGTGGGTCATTGCACGCTTGGTGTCTAAACAGGAAATATAAAAGGAGATTAAGATTATTTTGGTAGCACTGGCCTTGCAGGTCTCTCTAGTTCCTTTAGGTACTTGATATTCAGACCTGCCATTCTCCCTCAGCCTCAACCCTCACACATCCCAAGATTAGTATCAAAGTAGCTCATGGAATCAAGTCCTCAGTATGCAGTGAGTTCTTGAAATTTATACTCAAGCATTTTTACTGGTGGCGTTTTAGCACGTTTCTCAGTGTAAGCAGCTGAATGCTTGTCTAGCAGCTCTGTAGAAACCTTCCTCGCTGTGCGCCATAGGCTTAGGTCTCCTGCTGTCAAACTTTTGCCCCTTGATGCTTTCAGTAACAGCTTGCATTGCATTGGGTGGATCCCACTTAGGGATTTTAGAGTGGTAAATAGAAAGTGATAACACAGAATAGTGGGAAAACAGAAGGGCTTTCTCACCCACGTGGTTATCTGTGGTTTATGCAAGCTTTTACACGTGTGTTATTTTGAAAGTGGGGACAGGTAGGGGAGGCGACCTGTTACTTCTCCCGAGAAAAGTGGAACGTGGTTTGGATTTTATAGTACCCAGAGATCCTAATTACTGCGAAACAACTGTAGTTCTGGTAGTAATAGTTAAAGATTTCACCAAATCAAAGATTTTGATGAAATCAATAGGGATTACCTCCTCCCTCCCACATGTTAATTACAGCCCTGGGCTGTACGCTCTTCAGTGATACCGCATGGAGAGCAATAGTGAAAGAAAGAACCACTCCTGTTTTTGAAATGCCTGGCCAGGATCTGATGGCATTTACTCTCATGTTTACACAAACAAGGATGAGTTTTCTCTCTCTGAAAGCCTCTCCCATCCAGGTGATGCACGTGTTAACATGGAGAACTTGCACTTTAAAACACTGCACAAAAGTGGGTAAGGAGGAGTATTATCTCTGTTTTGGCAGTAGGCACAATAAGGCGAGGTGCTGCTTGGGTTAATAAGGATGATAAGAAGTGGTGGGTTCAGAAAGCTCCAGGATCTCTAATAATTGAATTAACCTTAAAACAGTGTTGACTCAGCAGCATGCAATATTCCTGTAGAGCTGCTGGATTAAATCAAAGCCACAGAAAAGAGCCCTTCGTGCACACGAAACCCATCTCCTCCCTTTCCTAAACACCCGCCAAGTAACGGGCTTTTGTGGAATGCCTCGAAGAGCACTGAACGTGCTATTTTGGGTCTCTACTTCTGGAACAATATTTTCATTGGCTTTAGTATGTTTCACAGAAAATTTAGTCACAAGCTCACTGTCAAGATGCTTAATTGATTGATGCAATGCAAAGTAATCCGATGCCCATCTTTAAATACTTGCTGGAACACGGGTCTTTATGTCTGTACGGAAAGGCGTTTCATAGAAATTGTCTACCTAGCAAACCACTTCAACCATTGTCTTTATCTCCCTTCTTGTTTAGTACAGAAGAGCTTGGGGTGCTTGATATCCCAGATTTTGGCCAGGAAGCTGGAAAGAATGACACTAGCTTGTTGCACAGTGTATCACTATTATCCTTCTGTTTCTACCCCTTCTATTGCAAGTTTCCCCAAGGTGAGGGGATCAGAGACGTTAAACAGGGTATTGAAAGCAGCCTGAATTGGAAAGCAGAGCTGCAGGTGCAGTTCTTTCAGCAGCTTGGAGGGAGGCTGAGCACATGCTTCTTGGCCAGATGCACCAGGTTGAGCCCTGCTGGTACTGGGGTTATCTGGGCAGTGGTGCAGATCCATAGGTATTTTATTTGCCCAAAGTGGTGCATCTTCATAAACGCATCCTCTTAGAAACCGCGCCTGGCTCTGTAGTGTTCTAGCTGCTTTTCTTACGAGCAGCACCTGAAATGACAGGAGTCTGAGTGAAATGTGATTTCTTTTTCTTCTTCTTACTGGTCGTGTTTGGATTCAGCCATTCTTCAGGGTTTAGATGTGGACCACCTCGCTAATCCTTGCATTGTTTTCATGGCTCTTTAATAAGAGAGGAGCAACTTCAGTTTAGTACTGGAGTCCTGCATGGAAGTAGAGCCTGCCTGTCCTAGTCCCGGCTACAGGCTTCGCTGCGCCCTAGCTTGGTTTGTGCTATACCAATAAGAACCAAAAGATGAGCGTACCCTCCCAGAGCTTATGGCCTGATTGCCTAAGGACAGTACTTTCCTTCTTTATTGATTAGTGCTTATGGCCTGGACTTCTGATCCTTCCCAAATGTTTGCTCTAACTTTTCTTCCTTTCCTTTCCTTTTTTTTTTTTTTTTTCTCTCGCTTTACAACCGCGCATTCTGCTGTCCGCCATCCAAGCGGTTCCTCGGACCAGCGCCGCTACGGCAGGCGGCTGGGCAGCGATTTCTCGGTGGGGGCCGTGGTGCGGTTCGAGTGCAGCGCGGGGTACGCGCTGCAGGGCTCGCGGAGCATCGAGTGCCTCACCATGCCGGGAGCCCTGGCGCAGTGGAACGTTTCGGTACCCACCTGCGTGGGTAGGTATATTTTGTTTGGGGGGAAGAAAACACAAAACAGTTCAGCATCTTGTCCTAGAAGAGCAAATGGGATTCTTTGGGATGATTTAAAAATACCGTATTTCTTACCTCTTGCGTACAAAAGCCAGGCCTGCCTGTGAACGAGGCCAGTGAGCCCCAAACGTCAGGGGAATGATTTTTTTGATCCAAAACTCAGCTCTAGGATCTGGGACAGCATCTAAGATAAATTAGGTCTATCTGAAAGCTTCCTTTGGAGGACAGCAGTTTCCAAGGAACTTATGCTTTAAGTTATATGAAAGAGTTACTGAAAAGTAACGAATAATTCGTATTTGTACAAATTATATCCTTAAATCGTGAGCCAGTTGTCTTTGCCTTCTCTGTCCACGGACAGATGTTTTAAAGGGTATGTCTTGCTATGGCAAGCAAATTCTTCCATATTCAAGGCAGTACTTTGCTTATTTCAGTGCCGTGTGGTGGAAATTTGACTGAACGCAAAGGTACCATCCTTTCCCCTGGCTTCCCTGAGCCTTACCTGAATAGTCTCAACTGTGTGTGGAAGATAACAGTCCCCGAAGGAGCCGGCATACAGGTACAGTATTAGCAGCTGCCACTGCAGTGTGATGCAGAGAGAAGGAGCACACAGTATCTAGTGCGCTTAGAGCGGCCACGTATTTTGAATTTGCAGCCCCTCAAAGGAAAGAGATGAGCTGAATGTGTAATTCTTCTCTGGAATCAGATATTAGTTTACCCTACAGCTCCTGAAAGCGGGTAATATTTCAATGGGCTTTTACCTCCTGAAGATACTCTGTATGGAAAATCAGCTGGAGCCATGTGGCTATTCTGGTGCAACCAAATAATTGTGATATTTTGGGCATATATCTTTATACTGCTTAATTATTCAATGTTGAAAGCAATGTAAGCTGTATCAAGGCAGAGTTGCTTGTGCAGGCTGCCTGCGTGGATTTGTTATGCCAGCATAGTTGCAGCACTGTGATTATACAATTACAGCTTTGCTGTTCATTGTTTCCAGGTAAATGAGCTCGCTCTTCAGGTTTTTGTGGTCCTTATCATTCCTCTGCAGAAATAGTCCTGCTGGGTAGAGGATATTGAGAATGAAGCCCAACATCAGAGACCAAACCTTAGATAAAGTTCCCATTCAACACCTGTGTGCATCATTCTCACAGAAAGGCATTGCGCTGTACGTTACACTGACATCAGCTGATGCAGAGGAGATGGATTCTTTAATGGCCTCATTCATGCCAGGGGCCTCATTATCAGCAGGTTTATTTCTTCTTTACACCACTTTGACTGCAAGGGTTTTGTTCATTAAGTGCTTTTATTTCAGTTTCGTGTATTTGGCTAATAGACTTGTAGGTGGGTTCCCCCCTCTCTGCAGCACTCGCAGCGGTTGCGTTTCTCTCCACGGTTTTACTGGAACGTCAAGTCTGCGCTGTTGGGTTACAGCTCTGCCTCTCCCGAGGGGGGTTTCTGATCTGGTGACACTAGCGTAATTCAGACTTGAGATCCAGACCTGTGTCTGCGATGGCAGAACTGGTGAGATCAGCCAGGGCCTGGCAGGTCACTGGTGACTTCACCGACGCCAGGCAAACCGGTGCAGGGCCTGCAGTAGTGCTTTGTGCCCTCTGCCGGGCTTTCGCGGCATCCAGTCCAGCAAATTCCTCTTCTGTGTTTTTAAGGCCATTTAACACTGTTTCCAAAAGCTTCAGAGCTCATTGTTGATTCCTTCCTGTTTGTCTGAAATTTCAGCCGTTCTCAAAACCCCCAAATGGCAGGAGGCTCCATTTAGCTCAACAGAACATTTAAACAGTTGAAGCATTTTGCAAGTTGCTTGGGACTCCTGGGATCAGGAGGTGATAATTCCCTTAATTTTTAAACTGATGTAAATAGATGTCTGTATTCTGCCCTGTTGTGTTTTGAATGCAAAGCCTCACTGCCAGCTTCTCAGCCCGTGTAGCTGGTTTTGCATATGTCCGCTAAGGTTAAAGGAAAGAAACACAGCAGACTGTTAAAAGCACGTCTTTATTCATGAGTACTTGTCTCTCACCTCTTTGGTTGTGCAAATGCATCTCTAACACCTAAAAGTCAAAAACATAATGCCAAAAAAAGTATTTAAAGGTTTTTTGGTTTTATTAGGTATTTTTTTTCCTCCTGCTACATATGACCCTTTGCAATGAAAATGGATATTTTGGGGTCTAACAGAGCAGGCAAGCAAACAAAAAAATTATGCCAAGGCTGAGCTTTAAGCCCAGTGCACAGTTCCAGGGAAGGGCTGACCCTCGAGCGCCAGCGCAGACCCCTGCACGCGGGACCGCGCAGGCACCAGGTCCCCCCACCAGCC